GAGCTCGTATAGCGGACGGGGTGCGCGGCCCGGGTGGCGACGCGCGGGTGTCCTGCGGTTCGGTGGGCGCGCGGCTGCGTTTCGCAGCGCACCTGCAGGTTGTGGCCCTCTCCTGGGATGTATGTCACGACCTTGGTGCCCGTGCTGAGGGCGATTTTTGCGATGGCCCGGTTTGCAGAGTTGGGCTTCTTCGGGGGCACTGTGTAGACCCTCAGGCAGATGCCCTTGCGCTGGGGCGACCCCTTCAGTGCCTTGACCGCGTCGCGCCGCTTGGGCTTGGGCTTGCGGCCGCCCTTGAGCAGCTGATTCTTGGTCAGGCACGCGGCCTGCGCCAGCGGCGGCGCGGGCCGCGGGCCGGCCGCGCACAGCGGCAGGGCGTGGCCGCCGCCGCTGCTGGCTGCCCCGAGCGCCGCCGCCAAGCTCACGCTGCCGCCGTCGCCGGCGAAGCCGCCTGGACGGGCCGTCATTGACGGCAAAGCGAAGCCCGCGCGAGAGTGCGTGCAGAGACCTGCTCGGAACACCCCACTCCCATTGCTGCTGCTGGCTGCCGCCCAATCTGAACTCATGCTCCTGCTGCTGCTCCTGCTGCTGCCGCTGCTGCTGCTGCCGGCCGCTGCACTTGCTCGTCGCTCGCCGTGCCGAAACAATTGTGTTGCGAAGCCCTGTGCTTGCTCCTGCTGCTGTGGGTGCTGCTGGGGGGTGCGCCACGCTGGCGGTGGCACGCCTCTGCCGGCTGCACCTGCGCCATGGCTGAAGGCTGCCCGGCACTGCTGCTGCTGCTGAAGCTGGGATAACAAGCAGGACCGTCCTGTTGCATTGCCAGAGTGGACAGCGCGCAGCGGTTGGGAGGAGGTAAGGTTCGGCTGGCACAGGACGCGAAAGCATGCAGCGCACGTTGAAGATGCTGCTGCACCAGGGCAGAGTGCTCACCACTGCCGCGGAACCACCGCCACATTATGTTTTGTGATTGATACTTCAGGCTTGGCAATGCGACGCTTCACTGGGGTCCGTTGGCTTCTAGTTCACTTTCGGCACTGGTGGCCCTGTTGATCTGGGCCGCTGTTGATCTGCGCCTGGGAACCACACCTTGATATAATTTGAGATGACCAAGCTAGAGTTGAAGCTGACAAATCAGTGGGTGGACCGGCCAGCAGTATAAACTACTCGTCCAGAGCTCCAGAATGCAGCACGGTGCAGTGAAGTTGCGCTCTGCTTCGCAACCCACACCATGATAAGAAAAAAGCAGTATGCTTCCAGACATACGACAGCAGCGGGGACGTCGACGCGTGTTGATGTCACACCACCGCCCACATCTGTTGACCCTCAAGCTGCGTCACAATGCCGAGATGCGTGACGGGATAGATGGAGGTGATTGAGGGCGCCTGGCAGCCTTCCGGAAAAAAGCAGCCCGCTGTTGGCGGGCCGCACAGACCCACTGGCGCTTGTTTGGCAGGGTCAACCGCATCAGGCACGCTCAGCCTCACGCCCTCTGGACCTCGCTTGCGTTGATGCGAGCTGCAGCAGCCACTGACATTGAGAGGTTGTTACAATCATCTATCTAGGGCGCGGACGCGTATTCAATGTCGCTGCAGCCGCCGTCTCACGGCACCAAGAAGGTGTGCGGCGAGCTCGAGCCCGCGCCGCCGCCCCGAGCCACAGCCCTGCGACCAGCGAGCTGCGCGGCTCTGCGCGGCAACACCCCAGAGGCAAGGGTCCTGTTGCAAGCGTGAAATCGATCCGATCGGATCTGGCGTGGTCTGAACCGATCAGTAGCCGAGGATGACGGTGCGGGCGAGGATGAGGGCGGTGCCGAAGTCCGAGGTGTCCAGCTCGTGGTTGGAGCTGGTCAGGCGGTCAACGCGGTCAAAGATGTAGCTGCGCGTTTGTGCAAGGGAGCGGCGCAGGCGGTTTTGTGTGTGTGCGTGTGTGTGTGTATGTGTGTGCGTGTGTGTGTGTGTACGCGCACGCATGTGCACGCTCACTGCACGTGTAAAGTGAGGAAGTGGGCGTTGATTTTCGACAGCTGTATGCGAGATTGACAGCCAAGGCAGCCCAGCAACGGCTGCAGCCCGCCGCCCTTGCGCTCAACCACCACCCCCACAAGCCCTCCGCCGCCCGGCGGCCTGCCTGCTGCCTGCCACACTCCCGCCCACCCCCCCCCCTAAAAGGCGGCGCCCCACCTCTTGACGCCCTCGCCCTTGGCCCCAAGGTCCCCGAGGCCGCGCTGCCATTCGCCGGCGTCCACAGTGCCGTTGTTGTTCGCATCAAACACCTGAGGCGCGGCATCGCGGGGCAGCGGGCGTGAGGCGTTCCTGACGGCTCTCGGGTCGTGGGGAGAGGCGCAGGTTCCGTAGATGGAGGTCGCTGCCGGCGGGCAATCGGGCGAGTCCCGATCCATGAGTTGCCCGGCGTTCACTGCCGCACCGCGCTTCACGCCAGCTTGTTGCATCCGCGATGTTGCATTGGTGGAGGCGCGACACAGCACCATGCGTCACCCGAAAACCGCTAAGTAATCAGCGGCGCGTCCTGCTGGGTGTTGCTGAGACCGATGGAAAAGCCATGCCGGGCCTGGGAAGGGCGCCCACCTGGAACACCCCCGAGTCCACCGCGTCGTCGTCGACGGCGCCGTCCAGCGCCAGAGACCGCAGCAGCTCCTCTGACGTCAGGGTGCCGTCCTGTGGGGGGG